TTCATACCCAAGATATCTAGCCTTTTCTGCATGTCCGTCTCTTTCCAGACCAAGTGATTGTCAGCCGCGCAGCGTTCAGACTTCGCGACGGCAGCGCTTCGGTCGCGCGATTCGACGATCGATGCGCATGCTTTCGACTGCATCGATCGCGTCGAACGCGCGACCGAAGCGCTGCCGTCGCGAAGTCTGAACGCTGCCTAATTATTTGTTGAGTGCGAGGTCTGGACCATTACTATGCACACATGAAGTAGTCGCTCATCTAGTTGAGTATTAATCATGCCTATCCCTTTCGCAGTACGTTCATACTTCGCGATTTGGTCGCTCTGATAGCGCGAGCGTTGATTGCTAGCGGTTGGCTACGATTGCTAGCTTCGTGCCATCGGAGCGACTATCGCGAAGTATTAAAGCACTCTCATTCCTCACTATATGTACGCCCTTTTAGGTGCTTTCACATTTATTGGATACTTGAATACTGTAGGGGGGAGGCAGGAAATGTTACTAGATAAGTCTCTCTCGTCTTCGCTTTTTCAAGGCTAAGCCTAGACAGTGCAGAGGATCATTACCACGGTAGAAGGGCTTTGAGGGTGCATCTGACTAGCAACCTTGATAGAGACGATGACTAAGGTGCCAGTGTCTCCGACTGTGATCGCGACCTTTGGTGCGGGTCTCCTTATCACGCTCACCTTTGCGACATTTTGCAGAATTATGATGTTTTTCATTTCCCATCTTTCTAACTGCACCTGGAAGCTTTCGTCACTGTGAGGAAACTCACCTCATTTCGCGTAAGCCTCGCCCACTCCTGTTAAGTGCCCAAAAATCGGCAGGCTAGAGTCTCGCTTGTCGATCGGAATTTAAAAGACACATGCAATTTGGTGCAGAGAGTGTGTTAAATTTAACTCGAAAAGTGGTGACTTTGGGTGCAGTTCGGCTTGGTGGGGGCATTTTGCTTTCGTTCCCGTCGATCAATGCCGATGCATCCTGTAGAGGCTTGTGAAATCCGGAAGAGCTGTACGCTAGCATACACTTCCTTTACAATTGGTAAGAGTTCAAAGTGTTACCAAGGCGAGACGGGTAATTGGGGAGAAACAGCGAAAGAGATTAGCGTGGTCGCAAAATGTCCTCCCAAGCCGAACAGCGCTGAACTTTTAATCGCAAACTTCAGTTGTTAAATGGTGTAGAAGATACCTATCTATTTCATGATTTAGTTCTTCAGATCATGAGAAGACGGTAGAACTCTTCAAGTGTATCCGATCCATGGATCCCCTCAGAATCGAACAGATGAACTTATATTCGGATTCCTTGTATATTCGTGTAAGGATTTTGATCACTTGACTAGTTTACGAAATGATGCAGATATGAGCACTTGCAGGGTGATCGTGTTCAACTGTGTGATTTGGCTCACTCTTTCTTCGAAACCCATAAGTATTCGTTTGAGACGTGTTGTATCGTAGGTTAGTTTTCCATTTTTTTCGCGCAAGGTTAGAGGAGGGGTGTCGCGTGGGGCTACGAGCAGGTGGTGAGAATAAGCTACATGACTGATGTCTCAGCGAAAGTTATTCTAGGTACTGGGTGGCGGTGGGGTGGGAAAATCGTGCGGAGGATAGGGGGGGCCGTGGAGGGGTGGGGGGAGGAGTCCCTAAGGGGCGTTTCCGGGTGGGTGCGAGGTGTGTGGAGGGCGGGCAGGGAGGGAGCTGATTTGACTAACCCAGCAAAGTGTCGACCTATCTAGGCGGGTTGACAGGTTTCACCATGATGGTTCGATGAGCTTGCTCCAGCTTCACAAGAGTTCACAGGTTTCGCCAGAGGAGACTTGTAAACCGGAACTAGTGAAGATAGTACGAAATGCCCCCTCCTGCACCCCACGGCGTCAGTGACTGCGCCGCTTTTGCGTTTTCCATTACTAGAACGCGCATTGTCGTGATGAGCATATGGGGGAGCCGTCAAATTGCAAGAGTATCTGCATGTCTCCGCCCATCTGGTTACCGCGCAATGAGTATTTAAGACATCGTTCAGACTTCGCGACCACCGAGGGGACTTGCGACGAGACACCATGAACACAGCGCCAATGCGACGGGCGGTAATAACGGATGTGGCATGGATATCTGATTAGCGTGGTCCGATGCTATTTGGGAGGGTATGCGAGAGAAGTAATCGTGACGATATGCTGATCACGTGCCAGTTTGGTGCTCTCATTAGCTGTGGAGCGTGTTGCAATGGTAGTGCGTCGACGCGAGTCATTCGCGGAGTCTAAACGCTGTCTGAGAAGTAGCCATTCTACTAAGATTTCACAAAGCAAAGCACTATCTTTAAGGTAATTATTACGGTCTTCGCCGCGAGAACGAACAAGCGATTCGGTTTTTCCAGCCGCGCTTCGATTGAACCGCCGGAGGTTGCGCGTCATACTGGGTCCTGTAGGCCATGAGTTCTGGAAACTCAAGAACATGCCGGCCGCTTGGTATGTCCTAACAGAAGAGCAGATCGGTGATGGTCGAACGCTCTGATCGGGCTATGAAACTCAACGTCCTTTCATTTTTCAAATAGAAATGATATTCAGAAGTGGACCCACAAGACTACCGTGGGTGGTATGGCCTTGGCCAGATGTATGACATTATCAAGATGCCTACCTACTCGTTATTCTACTACCAACAGGCTCATCTTTGCAAGTGAGAGCTTTTCTTGGATTCCTACGAGGCTTTGAATATGTTTCCCACTAATTTAGGCCCCAAGACTCTCGAATGCTGGTTGCACTTGGTGATGTCTATCAGAAAATGGGTCGCCTTCGTAACGCCGAGAAGTGCTTCATCTCGGCGTTCAAATATGGTGATGTGGAAGGCACAGCCCTTTGGATGCTAGCCAAGTAAGTGTATCCACTCCCACAAGTAGGTGGTATCGAACCCCATAGGCAGAGTTCGGCTTGGTCGGGGCATCCAGTGGTACCACCTTGTGAGCACCTGTAAATTCCTGTGACCAGAAAGGCTCACTCGCACCATTTTGCAGCTTCACAGGAATTCTCCTGCTATTGAACACGTTATTAAACATGAAAAAAGACTAGTGGAAGTGCAAAATGCCCTCTGCAAGTGTACAGCAGCCTCCCATTGCTACTCAGGAGTTTAGAGCGTAGGCATGGAAGGGTAGAAAATATTGCGTGCTTCTTAGTAGTCCTTGTTTCTTCATTTGGTTGTTCCTTTGCTTCAGTTGACTGAGAAATTTCCACTGTAGTTAAATGGGCAGGGCTGCTAAACAGTTCTCTTCTACTTATTATTTCCCTCTACGATGGCTGAGAGAAGGAGCGCGCCAATGAGGAGGTTGCAGTGTCAGACTCCACCCATTTCTTTGCACATCCATTACTCACGGACTCAGGGTAACAGTAGAGATGGCGATGTCATAAGGCCTCACCCTCTAAATTCCCTTTTCCGATACGGCCCCCATTTCCACCATCCTACCTACCATCTTCCCAGATTCTCCCAGCTCTACCGATTTTGCAAATTTTTTTTCCGCTTCTTCCCGAAAACCTGGCGTCGGGAAAGGGTTGACGCTAACTATCCCCTATCTATCAAAACCAGTAAATGTATAAGTTTTGGGGCTGGAGAGAGAGAGAGAGTACGACCTGGCGGTGTCAGTACGCCTTACTCTGAAATTTCCTTATGTGCAACCTTCTCTCCTTATTTTCAACTTCCTACCCCTTTTACCCACTCCCAAAAAACGGAAATATTTCCTTAGCGGCGAATACTACCTTCCGACGAAATATGGCGAATACCACCCCTTCCGGTGAATACCCAGCTACCAAGTACGATCCCCAGTGGCATTCTCCCAGCGATGCTCTGCCCTGATCTGTCATCCATTATGGAAGCTGATTGCTCTGATTTTTCTAGGTTGTATGAATCTGAAAACCAAATGCAACGTGCTGCGAGGTCCTATGAGGAATATCTGAGGGAGTATCAAGATATAGAGGTACTGTTGCGCCATTCGTGGTTAGGTTACACCACAACTACGGTATGTATGTTTAGGATACCGACGAAAATGTGGTATACTGTGTACAGTTCCTTGCCAAGCACTATCTGGAGCAGCGTGATGTGGATAAAGCAATTTTCTATGGCCAAAAATGCTTACAGCATGATTCGGTGAGTACCTAATTGTCAAGTTCAGCGGAGAACAGCCAGTTCTATGGAAGTTCAGTCGTTAGTGACCTGGGGGGGACACACCTGCAAGCGCCTTTCAGCAAATATTAACTCCTGTAAACTGTATACTTGTGAATACCGGGCAGCTCGGTCAAATGTTGTAAGCCTTGTTACCACCTGTCATAAACTTGTTAACTCTTGCCAGACTTGTCAAGTGGTGAGACTTGAAACCTGGATTCATAACACCCCATATACATAGCTGCAGGGCTTCACATAAGTTTACAGGGTACTTGACAGAATTTTACAAGACTTGTAGGATGAGACATGATTGCCTGGTGTTCACATGTATACAATTTACAGGACTTGATATACTGACAAGAGCTTACGGGTATACCCCTGCCCCTCCTTCCGCCCCTCAAGTCATTAGCGCCCAAAGTTATTGCTAGCGGTAATGAAAGTGATGTTTCTGTGCATTTCAGATCTCGGAAGAAGGTCGCCTAGTACTGCGGACAGCTGAGGCGATGAAAGAGCCACATGATCATGATAATGCCGGTGATATGAATCCATTGAAGTTAACCGATGATACGTTCAATTCTACGGGTGGATTTGATATAACTCAAGGAACCAGGTGAGGGTTCGGTGTCCAGTTATCCAAGTAATTAACTGTACTGTAGAAGAGTGAGGAGAGAGTGCTTGAAAAGGTGGCGAAGGTCAATGGTCGCGAAAGGGGGCCCAGGACCCTGTTGCTGCTGTGGGACTTGTAAGGCGGCGGATTTTCTAAAAGCGACGTTGTAACTGTCAGAAGTATTTTCTCAGAAACACACTCTGCGCTGGTCGCATGGGCGGAGACACGTAAGCGGGGACAGGGTACTTCCTCATTGGGCGCCCCTGGTTATTGCTTTAGAAGAAGGGCACACTAATGGGGAACGTTCAGTGATTTTTGTCCCCTCCCATCCGAAACAGGCGCCTCGGCAATAGCAAGAACTTAGTGTCAGTTCTGCAGATGTTTCCATCAAGCTGCTGCAGCTAGAACTCTCCTATGTAATGTATCATTTCATCATCCTTTCGCAACATTGATGAAAACCAGTTGTACCCAAGTCCTAATAACCATTCCATTACTTGGGTCAAGTATACTTCTGTAGTTGAAGTGCTGAAGGCAAATTCCGGTCGAAAGTGTTTGAACCTGTAGGGTGCTAGTATCCGAGGGCCATCTCCATAGTCTGTCCCCGCTATCCCCAAGGTGCGTCAATTTGCGTTCGATAGCAATACCCCACAGCGAAGAGAAGAGATAGAAAACAACAAAAAGTGAGAGGATGCAGACAAGTATACAAGTAGCGCGTTTGGTCATGGTTAGACGTGTGACTGCCGTGCAGCAGCGCGGGTGGAGTATGACTGCACCCGAGCCTGTCTTCCTCCGCACCTGTGCACGGGCGCATTCCCTTGCCCTTTTGACCGACTGCTAGAGTGTGGCACACTAGTGCAGCTGCGGACCTATTCTCCCTACACTAGGCAAGGACCAGGATCTAGGGAATTGAATATAGTTTGCTTTTAGGACTTTAAAACCAACCTGAAGGCAGTTGCTGGGTGACTACTGCCTCTATTTTTTTACTTTCGTTATGAAAGCTTAGCATCAAAATGGGTATTTTAATTGGGAGTGTTACAGCATCGTCATAGCAGATGATTCGGAAATGGTGATCTCAGAAGGAGAAGGAGATGAGTCTTTCTAAAGCCGGACGATGGAGTATTCCGTTGATCCGACGGATAAGATTGTTTGTTGGAGACGCAAGTGCTTGATCTTCCTCTTTCTGTTTAGAGGAAGGCTTCATACTTCGCGATCCGATCATGTGAATCGCGCTATCGCATCGCTGAGTATGAATGCGCTCTAGGGCTATTTAATTGTTGCCATTAGTATGTTCATTATTTGGGATACCCGGTGATTATTTGCTCTTTTACGCGATAGCTTCATCTTATTAAAAGTTGTTATGTATTTTATCTTGCACTCAGGAATGCATTCTGCCCTGTTGATGTTTTGGTTCAACTGTTAAATTCGTGTATACTGCGAAGTGTTACTTCCACGTTATGGCTATACGGCAGGGACAGTGTTATTCAAAGGATTCCCATTCGCGACATTCGCACCAGAACCTCTTTGGTTTAACGCGCGAATGTTGCGATATGCGGATTTACTACAGACTTATTCAATGTGGTGTGTCGGGATGGGGGGGGGGGGGTAGGGGCTGGTTTGGCGCGGCGCCAATGCGTTCTTCACCGATTGTGGAAGCTGGTTGACCACAATTAATGGAAAACTAGCTGGCGCTGTGCCAAACCCGGCCCTTCTGACACATCTCCATCGTCCGCAGCGAACAAGACTGTAGCTGGTTTTTGGTAGTCGCTACAGCATGGACGTGACATCGCGCTTTCTGTGCCTCTGGCTTTGGACCTGCCATTGCAGGATGGCTTGGCTGTTTGAAGAAAGCCATTTTTCTACACTACTGGTGTGTGGCTGTCTTGTTTTGCTTTCAAAAAGGAATTTCGGAGCTGTTCGGCTTTGAGGGGAGGGGAGCATTTTGCACTATCGCTGGTTCCTTTTGTTAGTTCACATTATCTCTCGTGCATTACTTTTGAGACATGTAAACTCTTGCAGAGCTGCTGACTGGTACAGGTGCGCCGCTTTGGTAACGGGAGTTTACAGGTTTTCACAAGGTGGCTTGTCCAAGCTTTTCGTGAGTACAAATTAATGCCCTCACTAAGCCGAACTGCGCCAACATTCCTTTTTATCAACTCAGTCCCACCAAATCTGCCAATAAATATGACAAGCGGTTGGTGACAGCCAGTTCAATGGTCATTCTACGGAAAACGCAGTGAGGGTGTTGATCTCACCGCTGATCTCACCTCTTGTAGAGCAATGTGATTTTTTTCATTTTTTAGATGTGTTTTTTGTGTTGCTGCTATTTTACTCTTTTCTGGTCGTTTTTCTGCAGTCTAGAAAGTTAAATATATTGAATAGGAATTGAGTTCCCGATTACACTTTTGTGTTGCTCAGTGCCGCTTGCGATTATATTTTTAGGTTCTTTTTTGATTATGAGGAACCTCTGTAATGTCGCAGTTTTTCGTTGTGTTATGTTGTTTGGGTAAGAAGCGTTATTTCTACATTGCGAACTTGTAAGTGGCGTCATGTGTGCGGTGTTCGCACCAGGACTTAATTGATTTGACGTTGAAGTGCTGAAGTATGTCAGGTCAACTGGATGGTGGCTTATGCGTATCGCGTGTGTCGCAAAGTTGGTGTAATGCGTCACACCGTTCTTGTTTTGTTGGCGTTTTCTTTTTCCTCGACCTTTTTTTCGATTTTGTTATTTACGATGACTTTCAGGTTATTCAGTGGTATTTATGTAGTTTCTTTTGAAT